AAAACTATGTCTTGCTTACATTGACAGCCGGGTAGACTTGTTTACCCTTTATTAATATAGGCACTTCCATCAGTAACCTGTACCCTCTATCCTTCAATCGGATGACCGACGCTTAGTGCCATGCCCTTCTTTGTCATCATCTGATCAGTGAAATGCTCTGGGACTACTACGAGGCCTAAGGATGTGTCGACTATTCAAGTCTCGTCTGTTCGGTCTCCGGCTCTCAGAGTTCTCTCAGACTACCGGGATATTACCGGTGATTTTTCAGAACTGATCGATTCATACTTCGCACGAGAGCGTCCTTGGCTTCACCACACTTTAGTAGTAAACCTTTTTCATCCTGACTATCGTCTCCTAATTGCTCTCACGAGTTACTCTTCGCACTGCCGTCCGCATTCTTCCGCTCATAGCTGATTCTTTAAATTTCCTTTTCTTCTTGGAACGTTGCCTTACCTATGTTGCTCCCGCATTCGGTCTCAACCTAGTTGTCCTTAGTTTCACCTAAGATGCCGCTCGCATTCGGACTGCTGTCATCATCATCGGTTTACCTGTTACTCTCCAACAATCATATTAATCGCTTAACATTGTCAACACGCTTTGTTATATCCGTCTCTTGACCCTGCGCGTGCAGATCCTTCTTTCTACCTAGTAGTTGTAGTCTGAGTCACACCAGCGACGTGATGTAAAGAACGCGCTTGCAAATCATGTATACTAAACAAAATTACATAAATTTTAATGTATCATAGGCACCGTTGCGCGCCACCAGTCTGTGTTTGTGCTTCTTGATTCATTGCTGTCTTTCTGTTTGGCTGCCTCTTGTCCGTTGCCCGTTTTCTCCCGAGATTTCCACAGATACATCCGCCAAAACAAGAAGGTTTATCCACTGGGACTGGTCGACCCACCCTCAATAGCCAGCTGGTTTACATGCTTGATCTTTTCTCCGGGAGATGAAGAACCCACACATCGTTCCAAATGGAGCTCTTTCCGCCATTCTGGAGAAGCTACCACCACGGGGTCTAAACAAATGGGTTTAGCTCGCCTCGTACTCACAGTAGAACAATTTACTCACCTGGAATAATGTATTTACATGGATCCACTGTTCCACAATCGAAGACAGACAATTCTGGCGTGATTATCTTCACTGCCTCAAACATTCCGATTCTCCAGTCACCTGGAGCTTTTCTGATGTCATTTCACGGACAGCATTGCGCGCGTATAAGCGGCTTTTCCGATGATCTTTCATGGAGTTCTCACTTGGCCATGGAGACACTTACACTTACATTTGAAGGAATTACTAGTCCACTTTGCGGAGAATAGCATTTCTTCCTGTTATGGACATATTCAGACACAAGAAACAACTGCACTCACCGTCCCTATGACAAGTCCAGTATGGATAGCTGGACACGCGTTGCGAGCCGGACAATATAATAGAAAAAGCCGGCCTCTATTAACAATGTGTTTACTCACCTGCATCAATATCATTCGACTCTGCGACTCTTTTACATCATTGACCGGCTTCAACGACTACTGCCGGATCATTACTAAGCCATTCGGCCAACGAAGGAAGAATTTTGGCTTTCAACCGACTGCGAATAATAGAGTGCAAAATCGGTCTATACGATGCATAGCCGACTAGCACTACAGTTCAACGGAAAATACGACAGTGTTCCAGGACGTGGTGGGTTTTCGCCTGGCAAGCGTTCTCCCTATAAAAAGCCACAAATGTCCGCTTAACAACACTGCAACGTGGCGGATGTGACTCGCCACAAAATAAAGTCACAGCTATACATTTCACACTGACGCAGTCCTCAGCCTCCTACATCCAACCTGTGCAACTAATTCTGCTATGAAGAATGCTTTAGTGCAGTACAGATCATCCCGGCTTCGTAATGGTCATTGATTGCACTAAACCTTGTTTGGGCTCCTGTGCTCATGGATCACTACATGGCAAATTTACCCCCCACTTGTATCTTGACGCAAAAGTTTTGCGCGCCACAGCGCCATCATGGTCCTTGATCTGACTATTACCTGTCAATATGCTCGCTCATATGGACTACATCTTTTCGTTTATTCCTTTCATTGAAACATAGGTTTAGCAGAAGACACACATGTAACACTAACAGCGGGAGAAAGACCTCATGCATGCAGAGAAGAAGCGACAGGTGCGGAAGCGGCAAGCACCGATGGGTTGTACTCCATCGACATCAAGCGCATTGTGCTGTAGCACAGGCGGTCACGAGTGCCTGAGTCAGGCAAACCTAGTGAGCCATGAGCGAGGCGATTCGGGACCACCACCGAAACGACGACGGGTCCTGCAGAGAACGCAGGCAGAACCAGCGCAGCGCTTGTAGGTACGCTGTATTCGATTTACTAACCGCGTGTTTGCATGCTAAACAGTTTTATTTCAGGTGGTGGGTTTTCAATCTTGTCCTAATGCTTTTCTTTCCCAGATGAATGTGCACCTGTACTCTCTTCTATAAAATTGCACACGTCCCATAAGCCAATCGTAATTAATTTCGACAACATTTTCGTGTTTGTGGCTTTTCCATAAGATTTACTTTGAGACATCGTGATCTTATCTCGGATTCGTTCGTAGACAACTTATTTCATACACTCAATAATTTAAGACTTATGTCATCGTTTCATTATGCATTACTCGATTTATTTTATTTGTTAGCTTTCACGCAAATGATTGGATGTTGCTTGACATCCCCGGTGTGGCTGCGCTTGATGTGCATGTTGACAAAGTGCCTGTCTATTACACACTGCATGTCCATACTGGCTCTAGGATACAGTTGTTCGTTGCTGGAGGGGACGGGATGCACGGTCCTTGTGGCTGTGTTAGGCTCGAAGAGCGGTACCATGCACTCAGAGTGGAGCGGACTACGGTCCAGCCACCGCCTTGTGTGCGCTTGATTCCCCAAATACAGTGTGCTTGTGTTTGCCGGTGAAGGAGAGTGGGCCGGCTCCTTTGATGAAACGTGGCTCCCATCCACATGCCTCCTGGTCTTATTCCTTCGGGTTTACACTGGATATGGGGCGTGTGGTTGGAGGCTGTGGGTGGTGCAGCACAAGCCACGCATGGTCCCTCTGTATGCGTAGGCGTCCAGTGTCTGGCCACAGTGACAGGCAAATCCGAAACCGGATGCCGCCAACCATGTATGTGTTAGTGGGCATTGTGAAGTGTGACTGAATTTGTGAGTTTGTTTGCCATCGGATGAAGGGATCAATGGAACTCTTCGAATTGGATGAGGTTTGTGAAGTAAGGACCTTCCGGAAGGGGAAGAGGCAGTGACTTTATTTATTGCCGAGTCACATCCGCAAAGTACAGTACACCCTGAAGATGTGAAATGTCTCGAAAAGTAAAGCACGGGGATTGAGGCTAGCCAATGCACCAAGGAGCTTCAGTTGTACCTAACTCAATTTTTTATTATATTTTTTAACTCAATGGCATCTCGGATATTACGAGAGGCCAGTAGGCAATGAGGTTCGGAGCAAAGGAAGACGAAACTACCCGGAATGACTGGTCAGAGTCCTTCGAGCAGAGTAAGAAACCACATGTTAACCAATTTACTCCATTTGCGTGTTGCTTCGTTATGTTAAGCATTATCGTAGTTCTTGCAGGGAAAGTAAACAGAAGCAGCTAAGCTTTTTGGTGAAAGTCAGACTATACGGATGACAAGTGTGATCAACACAAATCATCAAAACTCGAGTTAGATACATACTTTGAAGCGAACGCATGTCGTGTATTAAGACGCAAATCATTAACTTTGCTATTATAGTCACCCAGGTAGCCCGTTAGCAATGGACTGAACAATTCCATAACAGGAACCAAAGAACCCAGATGTAGGGAGCCTTCGATGATCGTTACTTCCACCAGACGAAACAAGTGTGATTCCTGTGGCAAACACTGTGAGATGGGCGTTCTAAAGTTAAGACCAGCCACAAAGACCCACAATCCGACACTGAATCTTAATTGGCCTAGAGGTTTTATCGCTATGATCTTAAAGTATCAAAGCTAAGTGCAACACTCTCGTTTCATTATTGGTTGACAAACCAGACAATATCAATGCTCTGAAAAAGCTGAAACATTCACTGGCTTGCTGTTTGTATTCCAGAAGTGCATCCAGGTAGGCTAAGCGAATAACTCTAAAGGCGATTAACACAGTTGCTTGAGAGCAGCCGACGCACTGTACTGTCTTCAGGCATCTGAGATAGTCAGGCTGCGATTTTACAATCCTGCTAGCCACGAGCTCCCGTAATGACAGGGTGGGTGATGTAGGACCGAATCAAAACGACATAACTCAAGATGGGGTGCAGCGGAATGGGTCACAAGGGTGGATAAACGTGTTATCCAAAAGCAACTATTGACCCCCTCGATCAGACGACTCATGTTTAGACCTGTCATTTTATTCGTTTCTACCAACGTAGTCATATGAGAGAATAAGGTGCGTGACATGAACTGGACCCACAGTACAATTGCGATTGGTCGCAGCCAGAAAAGGAATCGCTGTAGAGGCATTCCAGGCCCGGAAATACTTCCGACACATGATTTGAATTGTAGTCATTTCAATGACCAGAGAGATCGTTCATCACATGAGTACCGGTTGCTCAGTAAAATGAAAAGTTCGCTTAAGACAAGAGGTTGAACAAGAATCTCTATATCAGTACATTAGATAGAAAATGGCGAGATCAAATCCACCAAACGGATGCGAAATTTTCGATTGAAGAGTATGTGACTGTGGGGAACCAGGTTCGTAACTGGAAGACGGAAAGATTTGTTATGAAGAACCAGCATAAACAGACGTCGTACTATGGCGGATTAAACATGATTCTCAGACTAACGCTAGGTAGACTGCATAGAAGGCGCAGTTCTGCCGATCAGTAAAGCACTCAGTGAATCTACCCTCAACTTCATTCAATGACCGGCAGCGTTTGAGCATACTTTAGCAAGTTGTGAGCAGCTTCGAAGCTTATTCGGAGCATGATAAGACAAAATTCAAAGGCAAATTTGATTGTATGCATATCGGTTGATAAGTTGACACAAAGGGAGGGGAAAGTGGCCAACGATAAGCAATACGTTGACCCATTAATAGGGTACCGAGCGCTGTCGTTGACTGCCATAACGACTCCATCTTCTCGATTTATGGTACCGGTTGTAAAGAATAGTGGCAACAGTTTAATTCAAGCAGGACCACAAAAAATATGGCGGTCGAAAAAGATCAAAATAGTGCTAACCGGGAGAGAAACGGTACATCTCCATCAAGCTAGACGTTCGGGAAATCATAGCCTACACTCGGGTCAGTGTCTACAGTTCAACAACAAAGGGTGAGATAGAGAAGGTGATGTGAGCAATGGGCAAGCAAAGACTGCTTACAAGCACATTTGTTTTAGGTGTAAGAAATATCGGAACAGATGTCAAGGAAAGTTTTTGGAAGTGATGGATGTATGGATGGATTAAGCAGACCGTTCGAGGGTGGTTAAGCTGAGACAAATCAGAAAGCGTAATACATAAATGTATAACTACAACAGAAGACACAGGAGAGACGCGAGGAAAGGGTCGCATGAAGCAGCTTGTGACTGACAGTTAGACGCATTTCCCCGGACAAAAGATGCAGACCAAGAATAATAAGAGCACTATAAGGGTCACAAGTTAACAAAGGCGTAAGTACAGAAGTCCGTCCGTTAAAGGAAAGAGAATGGTAGTTGTTTCTGCTTAAACAATGAAAACAAGCCGTCAAAAGTAATGTTCTGAGGAGACAAATATATGTCGCATGAGACATAAATGCAGAAAAATAATGGTTGACGGTAACTGAGTGCTGTGCAGGACCAGTCCGAGGTTCATCGGCGCGAACGTCGACAGCGCCTTTTGCGTTGAGGCACTGAAACCAGTTGCGAAAATGTTGAGGAGTATTTCGACTGCAGCTCACGAGCAAACACCTCGTCCTGCGACACATAATATCAAAGGAAACAGAGTATCGTGTGAATTGATTGAAACGAAGGTTTGCGTACAAGATTGGAATGAGCAGAAAACACTCAGTTATAAATATCTAAAAAGGAAAACAGGATATCGAGTGCAAAAATAACGCCTTCAGAGCAAAAGTTGGATTGTGCAAATTTGGGCTCTCTGTACACAAAATGCAAATATCCAATGACAATTTGCTCATTGATGTGCTTCAGAAGAGTTAATCGTTGATAACAGGCGACAATATAACAAATTCGAATGGAACTCAAGCACACAAGGTTTAGTAATTGTGATAGAAGCAGAGTAACGCATTTAGCGGTTGCAGCTGAGCGAATACAAGAGGTGGAGGCCAAACAGCGACTTGAAAATCATTGCGGAAAAAGAAAAAAAAGCTGGCTGTCAATAATGCAATCTGTTCTTAAGGTGGCTAACAGTGGACTTGAGATCTTGAAATGCTTGGTGGGTAGCACAGGCGCCATTCCCTTGTTCAAAGGACCCGATGACTTAATCAAAGGCTTCGACAGAAGTCAATGGAGCAAGTCTACATTCAATCCTCTGTGGTGTAGGGTAGGCTACTGAGCGCAGGTTTCTAGGCAGGACAATAACCGTAAAATAAGCGATCAGCAGCAGCAGCAGCAGCAGCATAAACAAAAGGTAGCTTAAGATAACCAACACACATCAGCAAACCTGCCGAGAAAAAGAGAAGACACAAAACAACAAAACTGCAGTGTAAATCAAATACGCAACGCCAGGCTTGCCAAATTAGGCATCACGTGTGAGAACGTGGTTGAATGGGAAATTAACACGGTAAGGGCAGGGACAAAGTAACTCACAACAAGAAAACCACTGTGGTCGGCTCTTCGCAATACCAGCAAATGGATCAAATTAAACGTTGTCATCATTCTCCGTACCCCAACCAACCAGTCGGTAAGTAACAATCAACGCCAAGTTTGAGGTGAGGATTTTCATTCTTCGTGACTAAATCATCACTTGGCCTCCTCCTCTTCTTCCATCCACATCCCGGTCACGCAAACAACGCACGCCGCGGTAGTCATTATGCTGGCATGTCCAACACGTGTCCCAGCCATCGGAGCCTAGTACGTCATATAACGGTGCTGAGCGGTTCAATCGCTCTTCCTGTATAAATATGAGACGCTGAACATGCTCACTCGTCAGGCGGTGTTCCCACCAGATATGTGCAAAATTGGGAAGGCAGCGACGGTCGAACGCAGCTAGTCTCTTTATGTCGCTTGACCTGATGGGCCAGGTTTCATAAACATACAGGAGGGTTGAGTGCAAGGCAGCGTTGTGAAGTTTGCTCTTCAGGGCAAATGATATCATGCCGAAGACACAGGTGGGAAACAGTAGCAAAAGCGCCTGGAGTTTCTGTTATACAGTTGGTGACCTCAGCCTTCTATACCAAAGGCGCTAACATGATTGGTGGCATACGATTCAGGATTTGCATATAAACGCGATATTAAGAGGATAGTCACAGGACGCCCAAGCCGTGGGTGGCTTGCGCTGCACCACCCACAACTCCATCCATACACCCCGTATATACTCGAAAGAATAAGACCGGGAGGCATGTGGAGGAGAGCCCCGGTTACTCTACGGAGCCGGCCCGCACTAGTTCAACAAGCAGAGCGGAAATATTTGTGCCTAATGGGAAAACATACATACTAGACGTACACAAAGCGGTGGTTGAAACGCTCCCACACTGAGTGCGTGGAACCACCCTTCGAGCCTAGCACGACCACAAGGACCGTGCACCCTACCAACGACCAACTGTCTCCTGAAGCCAATATGGACGACATAGTGTGTGATAGACAGATAGGCACTTTGTCAACATGCACATCGAGCGCAGCCACACCGGGGATATCAATCAACAGCCAATCATTAGAGACGACAAGATGAAATAAAATAAACCGAATAATGAGCGTGTATGAAAAAACTGGATACGAATGAATCCGCGATAAGTTCAAGATGTCAGCAAATATATTTCAAGATAATACCACAAACGCGAAAATTTTTATCGAAATTACCTACAATTAGATTCAGAGACGTGTGCAAATTTATAGAAGATAGTTCAGGTAGAAATTAATATGAGATAAAAAAGCATTAGAACAATATAGCAAACCCACCACCTGAAATAAACAGACTCAGCATGCAAACACGCGGTTAGTAGATCGAATGAAGCGTACCTACAGAGGCTGCGCCGGTTCGGTCTACGTTCTCTGCAGGACCCGTCGTCGTTTCGGTGGTGGTCCCGAGTGGCCACGCTCATGGCTCACTAGGCCTGCCTGAATAAGGCACTCGCGACTGCATGTGCTACAGCACCATGCGGTCGATGTCGGTGGAGTAAAACTTATCAGCGCCTGCCGCTTCTTCTCTGTATGCATCAGTTCTTTCTCCTGCACCCCGGCAACTGCCTTCGTTATCCGATCGCACCATGAACGCCAATCAACTGCCTTCGCTTCCCATGACATGCAATCAAGGTTAGAACGTGAGAGACTCCCTTGATCATGCTCTGGTAGCGAAGCTTCGGTTTCCTCGCATGCCGCTTCCAAATACTCAGCTGACCATATACTAGTTGTTTCAGTACCCGCGTCGAGTTCATATGGCTCACATGACCGAGCCACCTCAGGTGTCTCAGCAAAAGTGTGCAGTCCACTGCATACATTCCACTTCGACGCAACACTTCCCTGTCCGCAACTCTGTCACCCCAAACGATGCGCAAAACCCGTCGCAAACACTGCTGATGGAACCGCTCAAAATATCCCAAATCCCCCAAGTTCATCGTCCACGCTTCACTGCCGTATAGAAGAACGGACAGCACTATGGATTTGTACACCATCAGTTTCGGGCCAATGAGTGGTAAGCTGATGGTCGTTCGACACTCGGTACTCTAGCTTCTCGAATACCGCCGCTGCATTCGAGACGCGGATACGCAGATCACCGTGTAGCTGATGTTCAGTCGGTATCACACTCCCAAAGTAGCAGAAGCGGGAGGTGGTTTCCAATACTTCAGCAACAATGCTGATTCCCGGCAATATTGAAGATTGCACATCCATTGGAGGCTGAAAGAGACAGACAGTTTTGATTGTGTTGATGGTGAGCCCGAATTTAGCCACTGTCGAAGCCAGAGTACTGGTCATATGCTGCAACTCATCCGCGCTGTGTGCAAACAACGCACAGTCGTCAACAAACAGCAACATACGGATAGTTGTCTCACAGACTAGGGTTCTCGAACCGAAACGACGGCTGTTCGGCAACCCACCATCAATACAGTGCTCCACACGAACACCGTAAGCACAAGCAGCATCAAAAGCACAAGATATCATTGCTGGAAGATAGATATTAAACAGGGCAGGAGCTAACACAGCCTTGTTTCACACCACAGACAACTACAAAGTCATCCGAGGTCCCATACATGAAATATAACCCACAACTGCTTTCGTTTCGCTATTTATATCAAACTTATTTTTCAAGCTACTCATTCTCGCTAGGCGTGTTTCTGCCTCGCATATGCATATAACAATCTATTCAGCAAGTAATGGACCGAATCCTTCGAACAGAACGTTTTGATGATAATCCAAACAAGTACAACGCTTACAAACAATGGAAAAACTGGTTTCATACTTTTACTTATTTTTCTGATGCCTTTTATTCCCATCGTTTAACAAATGAAAGATACTCGCGAATTACTTATTCCCTAATGTTTACGAGTACACAGCTGCAGTGGCTCTCGTGCCGTTCTCGAGGTGCTCATGAACCACATTCCATTGAAAGCGCTAGTTGATACGGGGAGTTACACTGTCACAACTGTAAAATCCTCGGATCAAATTTGCGAAATTTCAATGTTCAGTACCCACTTAACTAGTTTCACGAGCGGTCACTGTTGTGTTACAGTGCGGCGTAACAACAGCCATTACACAACCCTAAACTTTCTGTAGTCTCGAATCTTTGTTCAGATGTACCTCTGGGACACAGTTGTCGCAAACTTCACGAATATGTTAACATGGAATTTTTCGGTAAACAGTCTCCCCTACCGTCTGTGCTCTACTACCGCCAATGTGGTTCTTCTCTCCTGGTTCGAGAATGGTTCTTCCACTTTTTCGTGTACATGTTGTTTATCACCGCCACATACCCAGACACTCCAGGAACTGCATGTCACCGTGCCACCAGGGTCACTAGAACAATCCAGCTAGTTCGTTCACGGAATTCACCTTAGTCAGATGAGGAAGTGAAATTAATGACATCTCGCTGCAGCGTATGTGCCGAACCGAAACCCATGTGTACAAGTTATCTGGAACACAGATTAAGGCGACGCACCTTTTCGAAAAATTATACATAAATTTCAAGTGTCCATTAAGCCCAGCAACAAACAAGAAATAGCTGTTCACCATTTAGAGGAATGTTCTGGATTCCCATCTGCCTTTGCATGTAATGACATGAAAGCTTCAACCATGATTAATTGTTAAACCCAACATTTCTCTGTCTTCGGTATGCTACTATACATTAATATAATCGCCAAAGAGGCAAACTTTAATCCGGACCAAACGGCAATGTGGACGAGGCCTTTAAATCGGTCATGGCCTTTTCATTGATCATGACATATACCATAGCAAATGGGGACACTTAAGATCAGTAGAAAATACTGGCAATGTTTTGTGTCCAAAGTGCTTGAAAGGTCATCAAGATCAGATTACTATCGAATACTGCCGAGATACTACGCAAAATTCGTGAGCTGTTGATTTTGGTCTCGAATTACTCACTCATCATCAATACACGCCAGCTAAGGGTGAGCAACACACCTCAACGAATGTACCGCAATACAAATATATTTCGGACACTGCAGAATACAAAAACTAAAAAAGTAATAAAGTGCTAAATATCAAACTATGCATTAAACTTGAGATCGCTGTTGGAGAGGGAACCTAGAGAGGGGGGGGGGGCAAAAAAGACTCACACCATAAACGCG